TTTTTTTTTTTTTTTTTTTTTTTTGTAACTTCGCTCGTCAGCCGGTAACGCGGATGCGATCGGGAAACATTCGAAACGATGACACACGTTCTGGCATACACGTTCCTCTCCCTGTCATCAGTCACCGGTTTATTCTCCTTCTCCCTCCATTAATTTCGGATTATCGCAAATTGCACCCCCAACTTCAACCCCAACACGGGAGCCGGCAACTCTCGCGCGATCGGTTTAACACTGGAAGAAGCGTTCGTTCCGCCGCACTCTCTCTCTCCCGTCTTAATTGGCTTGATTGTTTCCGAAGAAAGGTTAATGAGTAAAAGTTTCGCGGTACTTAAGAGAGGTTAGGTACGGTAGAGGAAGTAACGCGTTGGATTTTAACTAGCCGCAAGTATGAAGTACTGTGCGCTAATTATGAAATATTTAAAAGACTCGGCAAGTCGGCTGAAGTTTAGGAGAATATCGGAGGAAGTTCCCTATTAGCCGTATAAAAGTTTACGTAATTTTTTAAATTTACGAACCGTAACTAGAAGCCTCGTAAAAGATGTAGCTTATAAGGATGTTCGAATCATCTGTACGATGCTTTATTGTAATAGCTATTCGTAAATTCCACCGAGTACAAAATTATATTATTCAAAGTTATTTTATCCTTTTACCGTGATATCATTTAATCTGTTGTGTAGCACATCTTCGATCATATCGTCGTACACAATTATTGAATCGCAAGTATAGCACGTGCTTTTTGCATTTAATATGAAAAATGTGGGAAATTTTTTCAAGAATGTTTACTGATCACTGTGTAATATGTCATTAGCTAACTTCTAGCTCTGTTTGCAGTTACAAAGCACCATGGGAAGCAGAGCTATGGGGGCGGCGTCAGGAGCAGCAGGATTGTCTGGCGAAGCAGGTTTAGCCGGCGTACCTAGACTTCTGGAGGATCTGGCTCGACTTTCAGAAGACAAAGATACAGCCGACATTGTATTTCTGCTAGGAAGGGACGAAACGCCAGTGTACGCTCACAGAATTATCCTTCAAGCAAGGTCGGTGTTTGAATCGTTGTGTGTGCGGTCATTTCCGACCAGTCGGAATATCCATCTTGCTGATGCACATATATTCGATATATATTCCAGTATATAGACATATACAGTCGATAAGGGGGAACATTTTAAACCCGAGAAACTCACAATGAGACAATTTATATTATTTTTCCTTACTCCTGATATCTTTCAACGTCTCGAGGGACGCGAGCGAGCTCGACGAGTTTCTATGAACGGCGCAAGCGAGAGCGGAAATTTTATTAAAAGATCGAGAGAGGGATAACCGTTCGAGCGGTGTATCCTGGGATCGAATTAATTGTTAATCGTAATTTTTATTAAAACAGCTCGCGTCTGGTCGATCGATTCGTAGCCGATACAGATTTCCTTGGAGACCTGATATCCTGATAAACAGGTGCGAGGGAAATCGCACCGGTGACAAACACGCTTACCCCATACAAAGCGCGGAAAATATTCGCAGCCTCGGTATTTTCAGAGTATGCACCGAGCGAAAAAGGAAAGTTGGAGACAACCGAGACAATGGGTCTCGTCGTTTTCCCAGAAAATAGAGAATTAACGTGGAACGTGGTGCATTACGCTCCGTCTTATCCCCGGTTACTTTTTGCAATGGAAATGGAGAGACGTACGTACGTAGCATAACGAAGGGAATTCGCGTTCGAAAATATTTTTGCGGTTCGTGAAACTCTTTCGTGAAACGATATCGCGAGACACCGCGACTCACCTTGGTCGCCTTCCACGAGACACGAACTTATTTCGCGGTAACTGCGTTACAAACTTTTCTTTCGTCGCTGAAGTCGGAGTCGCGGAAATACGAGGAGATCGGAACGAGGGGAAAAACGAAAAGATTGGCTAAAAGTTAACTTTGCGGAATTGCAAACGAACCCAACGGGAGGGAAATGATAACTTCGTTAAATTCTCCAAGTCACCGGAGGAACCTATACATAATTCACCTATTCCTACCGCACGCTTTATATCATCCCTCCTTCTGTTTCTCTTCCGGATAAAGAGAGAAAGAGTGTATCCAGTCGGTAGAGTGCTCGAATCGCGAAACAACTCGTTCGATCGGGCGAGACTCTATGAAAATTCTTGGTCGAACGAACGGTTCCCGGGAGAAAAATCGCCAAGTCATCAAAGTTTCTTCGAAACGAGCAGAAAGAGGGGATGGCGAAGTTCGCGACGGCGATGAATTTTAATTAAGGGACTCCGATTGTTACGGTGAAATGAATCGATCGAACGTTCTAATTAGTTGGATAATAAGAGGAGAGGCGTGTTCTTCCTCTCTTTCTTTCTCTTAGAGACAAGTTACCCGTGACGAGCGCGAGTGCGAGGGAACCGCATTTTCACTCGACGAAATTCTAATTGCTGTAAGAAGGGCTCGGTTTGGTATTAGGTGGAGGAGCCTTAGCTTTCGAGGCAACGACATTCCACTGGATAAGCTCGATGCTAATTGTAAAGTCAATTACGATATTCCTGTGAACCCTTTTGATATCAGGGCGTGTAAGGGAACGTCGGTCCTTTTGTCATCGACCCTTTTTCCTCCGATCCTCTCTCTCTCTCTTTCTTTCTGTCGCTCATCTGGTGCCTCGTTTTGCCGACACCGGCCTCGGAAAATTAAGTTACGCATGCTCGTGACAGGCGTCCGTAGGAGAAACGCATGGACAATACGCGACCGCACTCAAAACTCTACGCGGTGCTCTCCAGTCCGGTGAAAATCCTGACAAAGAGTCGTGATCCCCCCGTCCCACTGTCTATCCCGCTCTTGTAGTCCTTGTCATTTCGAAATGCGACGCAGATGAGAACGATGCTTGACAACGAGAGAAAAGAAATTGAAAAATAAGCTCATGCTTCGCTGATGTTCGATGGCACTCTAACATAATCCCATCGTTTCTATTGAACTCCGCGTGCAACTGACCGCTATTAATATATCAAGTACCATATATCCTCTTATCTGCTCTTTCGAATTCGATCCGTCAAAAGAACGCTAATTTACACGTAAAAACACAAGAGGCGCGATTAAACGATTTCGATGATTCTGAAACTAATGGAAAAGGCAATATTGCTGTTTTATAGAGAGACCGGAAGTGACCGCCAGTGGAAGTGCAATCAACGAGGCGTAAATTTCAGTTCGAATTCCGTCGCTATTTCCCCAGATAGGAGCCTTGAATTTCAAACGATGCTTATCATAATGGAAGAAAATTAATGGAAGAGCGTTCGTTATCGGCACGCTTTTCGCCAGTAATTACGCATTCGACGACAATGCTATACATTTGAATCCGGCGAGTTGAGGCGAGACGATCTGATAATGGACCTAAACGCGGTGAGACACCGGGTGCAGCGTTTCACCCGATACGGGAAACAAGGAGGTGTGGCGCGAATTTGACTCTCGTGCACCGGAAACGGAGGCGGTTTTTGCGCGGAGATCGACGGAGCCGCTATATAATCGCACGCTTGGTCGTTAGTAGCGGAGCCCGCGGCGACATTCAACCCTTGCTGCCGTGAAACCAAGCAGCCACGACCCTCGTTTCCCACCACCGCCTAGCCCCTTGCCCCCTAACATCCTCTTTCCACGTCGAGCTCGTGAACCTACGTTACCACCCCCGTGACACCTCGTCGTCACACCAGACGTGCGCGCGGTGCTCTATTCTTTTCTCGGCGTCACTCGCTGATATTTGGTTTTCTTTGATTCCGCTGCGGCGTTCGCCTGTGATTAGGGAAAAGCTTCTCTCTCCGGCAACGACTTCGTTCCTCGTGTTTTTCACCCTTTTCCTCTGTCCCCTTCTTCGTCTTCTTTTCTAGATTTTCTTTCCTTTTTCGCCTCGTTTCGCCACGTACCATCCATCACATAACCCTACCACCACTATCACTACCACTATCATCATCACCATCGTTGCTGCCTTTATTTTTCCTCTTAATACTTTTTCATTTCTTTTCCGCGTTTTTTGCACGTGGATATTATCGTGACTCTAGAATTGCTGGTCACGTTTCTCAGAACAGAATAAAAGATTCTCAAACGGAGAGAAACCCCG